CATTGGCTCTTAAGAGCGACTCACAAGGACCTCAATGCAATGACTGTCATCAGGCCGGCACTTCGGACCAAGCCACCCTGGCAGATGGACGGCCGGTCCGACAACCATATCTCCTCATACCTATTCTCCATTCCTTCTGTACAGAACATACTGTTGCTACCACTTTGGCCTTCCCGAGGATTCTTTCCTTTCCTAAGGAGCCAGGCCTAAAGATAGTAGTGACAAGGGTTAACCTTATTAATCTTTGTTCTCGGGCACAATAGCTGAATAGGGAGTTCTACGTCATTATTTATGCGTAACATATTGTGTTTACGCATCTGACCTTACTCTGACGCTCGTCTAGTCGCAAAGCCCCTGAAACGCTGTATGCCTGACGTAACAACATCCGTCGGTTCGGCGATCGATAAAACAAAGAAAAAAGTTTACCAACGAATGCTTGCTCTATAGAGCTGTGTACTCCTTTGCGTCAGGTCGAGGGAGATGATATGTGGTTTGACTATATGCGAAACTCTGTGTGACCAGAACAACGCCGGTCTATTAAAACTATCCATAAGTATGGGGTTTTTCCTCTAAGATACTCAACTCAGTACACCCTTTGAAGGAAACGGTACTATCCATTTGATAATGTGGGTACTCGCTCTGAAGATTTTTTGAGAGGCAACTTGTTGCACACAAGTTAAAAAATCAAGTGGATTAGGCTACAGTTGTGCATGGAATCTTAGATCCATCTTGAACTTTGCCCATTCGAACTGATCGTCGTGTGCATTGGAACATGTGATGCACTGAAAATCTGTGGCTTTTTGTTTTTGGTACTCAGGCCTGGGTTTTTGACAACCTCTTTGACCATTCTTTAAACCAGAAAAGGGTTTTTCAAAGGGCGAGCACCTCTCTCCTTTGATGCGCAAGTATTCAGGCAGTTGTATCCCTGCAAAAGTTACGAAGTACTGCAATGGCAAACACCGGCTACTATCTACACTAATTTCAAGTTCCGAAGTTAGCACTGACCGAGAGCAGGTTGAGAAGGCGGCATCAACTTCGGACTGAAAATGAAATCGGGTACTAGTTGCAAGCGCCATAGAGTAGTTTGTTCAGTGTTGCGTTAGACGGTGTCAAGGTAGGTGATCAATTTTGGGAATTCTTGATCGTGGGATACGTAACACAGACGTGCAAATACTGAAACAGAGGGGGTAAGGGTTGGCTTTGAGAAGTTGGGCACTTGAGAGGAAATGTTAGCAGTAGCTTCGTGTTTATGGTGGGTAACCCCGTTAATAGACAAATCGTTTTTGCTATTTCAACCTTGGTGAGGATATTTCATCTCGCCTCCCGGGGAGGAGGGGGGGGGGATACGGGATTAAAAAAACCCAATTCCTCCCTTCCCCACTACTAGAAGTGCACACCCGTTGACGAACGTTCACCGACCACAAACAGAACCCACCTGTCTGGCTCTGCCTTGGGGCTCGACAAAGGGCCTGACAGTTGTAGCAGCTGGTAGTATAGACAGATAATATTGCCGGCAAAGACAAGAGAGACTGAAATAGTCATTTCTGGCTTATTCGCCATCGTCAGCCAGTACTACCCAGACCCATGTGGTGTCCAGCCCGAGCTACAAAATCAATCTAGTGACTGAGTATCAGAACTCCGGATACGCCGATTAAAATGGAACAGTGTTTGTGGGCATAAAGAAATCGCCATCTAAAAGATAATTTCTAGTCCACCTTACGGAGCTGTCTCTACCCTTATATGCTCCTGTTCCTATACCCGCCCATGTTGAATACGTGTTCGTCGAAATTAAACAAATCCAGCCGACTGGGATACCAGCCAACTCATTGCTTGTGATGGAACTCTGCCAAAGAGTGAAGCAATTACAAGGTCCCACCAAACTTCCCAAAGTCCCTTGGTCAGCGTTTGCTAGCAACAGCAGGAGTACCCCCTACCCGGTTGAGGAAGCCGGTTTTGTGCACGCAAAAGAACCGCCTGCAAGCCCCCAGCTTGGTATGGCCAACGGTTACATAACTGCCTGCATTTTTCCGCTCTTCCTCTCTCCCTTCCATCCTCCCTTCCACTGTCCGGCGTCAACAAACCTTCTTTGCGTCTAAATAGCCGCGTATTATTTACTCTTAACCTCCTTCCCCTATGCTCATGACTAATTTGCCTGTAATGGTGAACGTAATTACCCGTATGTTTACCTTGCAAATTTTACCCCCTTCCCATATAAATGTGATGGTCCGATGAGAATTTATCGAAAACCGATGCATGCTCGCCAGTTACTCTTCTGAATTTTAATATGAGCATTAGCGAATTCGGCTGATAACAGTCGGTGGTCGGTATCGGACAAAATGTCTACCGCATCTCGGCCAGTTTCGCGCTCCCCCTATTACTGCGTTACGTGGCAGGCCTTTCAACCAGAACAAAACAGTGCTACAAAGGGCTTGTACTAGCGCTATGAGAAATGAACAAATAGATCTTTCTCGGTGAGTGTAAGTTTATCTGTTTGCAGAAATATCAAAAGAAACCAAAAACGGATTGGAAGTTTTCGGGCTGCTTGCAGTGCTAAAGCAGCGGAATGGACAGCAGTGGAGAAATGAAGGACATTCTCTCAGCAATTTATCACTCTCAAACATACTGGACTTTTGCTTGTTTGAGCAAGGGATCTGAGTCCTTGGGATCTGTAGTGGTGGTGGACTGACCGACGTGGTGAGAAGCCCCGTCTGATGTGGTGGTGGTGGCGGTCGACGGAAGGACCTCGGGGAACAATGGTGTGGGCAGGGCGGAAGAGTGATTGCGATGGCGTTGAGTAGAAAGACCAGCCAGTGGAATGCTTTCGAATTTCTGTTTTGAGCTTCGATCTTTTTGGCTTGGACCAGCGAAACCAACACCTGATGAAAACTGGCTCAGCCTCTCCTGCCTGCAGGCTGTCGAAGCCTCTAGGCGGGGTTGGGAGATTCCTATCAGATCATCTAGTTCTTCCCGTGCCTTCTCTCGAACCTGGGTATAGGGTGCAGCTGTAGATAAAACAAGGGAAGATAACAGCGTAGGCATTTCATAATCTGCAAGGTCGACATTGTCGGTTTAGGGAATTTAGGTTATTTTCAACAGCGGATAAGAAACAGCTGCTTTATTGGAGACTTTAGTGTCGGACAGGATCATACGGATACAGTTTCAAGACTTTACTTACTCCCCTGTTGGTCTATTTTCCCTGGTGTAAACTTTGAGTTTGTTTGCCAGATTTTTACTAACTGGCTAATAAAAAGAACTGTGCCAACTTGGACAATGACAAAATCTGCCTACAACATTCCTTTTGCATTCGAGCACATGGACAGGATGCAAAATAGTTTTGAAAATCACGAACCCTTCATTTCCGCTTGTATAATTGGTATAAACTGCTTTTGTAGCAGTTGGACTATGAACCAGTTTGGCCCTTAGAAGTGAGCTTTAGGGAAGCCCTTTGGCTAATAATTCGTCTGCCTAGAAAAAAGGCAACTCATGAACATCGTCAATTAAAAAGCCTATCCGATTCGCCTAAAGTTATTAGTATAAAACCTTGGATTTTATAGTTCGGTATAATTCAGGGTAGTAGGCGTTGCCTTTGAAAACCCCATTAGAAAAATATCAACATTCATTCTTTGGTCACAAGTCCGAACATCATCATTTCGGATATTCAAGCTTTTACGATAAAAATAGGTCAAGCATAAAAAGCGGTTGATATGACAGCGATAAATCAATAATTTAGAAAGTATGAAATCTGAGGAACAAATAACACAGCAATTACAACCTTTAGGCAGCCATGAGGCATTTACGATCAACGACTGCTTAGAATCATCAAAAAGCCTTATTCAGTCGGTTTTAAGAGACCACACAGAAATAAGCGAATTTTATCTGTAGTTTGTGTAGTATGTTCTGTGTGCTTGATGCCGAACTTAAGGTCGAATTACAGAAACAAATTTGCCGAATTAAAGATGAGTGCGGAAGCTTGTGTCGTCTATCTATCGCCGTAATTGACATATGAATCCACCTGTGTAATTTCGAGATAAAGCATTCGTGAGTAGGTCAGGACTGCACGGACTAGCTTATGGTGTTCTGTAGAAGAATCAGTTTTGGACAGCGGGTGTACCTGTCACTAAATAGGACAAAACACTCATTACATGATTACTATTTAAAGGGCCGCTGGAGGGCACCGTTCTTCCCACGTAATGTTATAAAATGTCACCAAAACCTGCAAAGGTCTGGGTCAGGTCTGTAGTGCAACCGTTGCCAAACTGACCTTGCTTTGCCCACTGACACTGGTATGAGGACAGGACAGCAGCACGTTTTTAGGGGGCGGGTGTTTTGATAAAAGTGATTGCCAATTATTCCAGCAAATCATTTTATTAGGCAGATAGTATTTTTGGCAAAGACAAGGGAGGCTGCAATGGTCATTTCTGGCTAATTGGCCGTCATTAGCCAGTCATATTCAGACTCAAGTGGAGCCCCACCCAAGCCTTAAACTCAGGACCCATTTGATCAGAGTCAAACGTCCGAACCATTGAGACACGAGCTCGTTGTCTCGCCGGTTTAGGTCAGGAGGTATCTGCCTACCACCAGCCGTCACGGCTGTCAGGGTCTCTGGTAGAGCTGGACTGATGAGTTCCGTTAGCGGTTAGGTGAACTTTCATCAACGAACATCATATTATTGTTGATAAAGGCCAACAGGCGACTTCAGGACCCGGTCACACCTTCAAGTTTGAGATAGCCGAAATTCACACAAGGGCTGACAACCGTGTGAACTGCTTGAATCTTGGTTTTCTGGCACGCAGTCGATTAACAAGCACAATGACCTCGCGTCTGATATTTTACTGGAGCAATTAGTCACGCAGAGAAGATGTGGGCGGTCAAAGGTTCCAGTGACAGTGAGCCATGTCGCTGAGTAATAATCACGTCAAAAAGTGGTGATGAAATTTAAACAACTAACAACTTGGACGCAGATTAACGAGTAATCATCGCGTCATCTACGGCCGCCAACCATGCATGCTGGATCTGCTAATTAAATTAGCCACGTGGCCATATGACAACTGCACCCTGTAAATATCGCATCACTGGCGCCTTCATCACCGCCATCTGCGAATGTCGGTGATGATGGGTTCCAGTGACAACCCAGAACGTTATCAGTCCAGACACACAGTACAGTATTGCTGACAGGGGGAAGGATTTTCGGCGGATAGGACTCGACCGCCATCTGAATTTTCAAGTTCTTGACGCCAATCCGTTGCCAGACGAAGTGAATAACGCAGAGGCGGGATTATCAGTCCAGAGCATTTGGAGTCACGGGCTAAAACAAATATGTAAGAAGTAGAAGATGCGATCGCTGTAACAAGGAGTTTATTTGCTTGACGCTTCGGAGTCTGTTAAGAACCTTAAATCAGGGGTAACCGTAGAATAGTATGATAGATGCACAGATAGGGGTTATATATGGACGGATTGGGCAGTATTTATAGTTTGTAACGGCCACCCGCATGCGAACAATAATTATCAGTTTCCAAACCATCACTGGGGATCGCAATGCGGTGATGGCTTGGCAGTCTATAGGCCTGGCCAGAAGCAATCATCAGGCACCGAGTCACGTGACCGAAACGGCTAGAGTCGTTTACCGGATTTGGTGCAGTTGTGAACAAAGCAACTACGTCGGAGACATCGAGAGATTACTCAGGACGCGAATGGCCCGGCACATAGCAGCGGGGAAGAGGAAAAACGCTAACCCACAGGTTGCATCGTACTTCATAGAACCTGGCCATATTTTTAAGTTTAACGGGGCCGAAATCCTCGCAAGAGGTGACAACCACGTGAGCCATGAGGTGCTCAAGTCATGGTTCTCAGGCCCACACTCAATCAACAAGCGCAACGAATTGCCGGCCCCACACTCCGTATTAAGACATTGTCTGAGCAGGAGAATCAGTCAAGTGGGAAGGGCCGGACTCAGCAACAATTCCGACGACAGCGGACATAGTTGTCGCGTAATTACGAAGTCCGCATCCAACACGGGCAACGAAATCGTGGCAATCGGTAGCTGATCGTTTTAGTTAGCGTGCGGGTGGCCGCTACGAACTATACATATTGTCCAATTTCTACTTATATCACCCTAATCTGTGCATGTATCACATTATCCTGCGGTTACCTCTGATGATGGGTTCTCCACAGAATCGGAAACGTCAGGCAAATGAACTTCTTGTTCCAGCGCTCGCAGATTCTATTTCTGAATTGCTTCCTGGAACTCGCCTATTCACTTATATCGATAAATAAATAACTTAAGCCTCAACGGTGCGGACACGGACATGCAGTAGGCTTCTGACAGGGGAAAAGATACGATTACGACTGTTTGTGGTGAAAGGGAAGCGGGACAGAGGATCAGCGAGATTGTGACAATTTGTAAACTCGAGAACATAATGGACAAAAAACAAGAATGTGTAAACATACCGTAGCTTTTGCACAGAGAGGCTCTATCAGATAGGCTGTAAGTACGCAGTCTAAAACGGAGTTCAATTTACGTGATAACCTGTCAACCTTTAACCTAATCTACCCTATCCTATGTCGCAACTTCCTTTCTATCTCATCTCAGTAGACAACAACATCAAAGGATAGGATGACCATCTTCGATTTGCTAACGGTCGTCAGCCAGTTAAACTATAAATCAGGATTCGGATAGTTTAGTGTCTGAACCCGAGTACCCTGTTCACAGAGTGCTAGGTAAAGTGAATTATCTAAACATTAAACTAGAAATCACCATACCGAGCGCTCTTGCTTTTGTTGAGGTTACTTCTGATCTATTAGTATTCGTTATGTGACTGCAACATTGGAGTTCATAGTCACATTTATGTTAGTATGTCCCATAAAGGGTTCAAAGCGGTAACGTCCACTCCATTTGTACATCTGCACATTGAAATACCAACACCCCATAAGCTTTAATTATAAATGAGTGAAGCTTTTTACGGAATAAATAACTCTTAGAATCTAAAGTGTCAGAAAACTTCCTCAGTTCATCATCAGACCATAGATATTGTACCAAAAAAGTCAAGTTTACAACTGCTCCTAAAAACGTATTCAGTGATTGGCTGCAGATTGTACCAATAGGTGTTCATTGCATTTGGCTCTGGTTGCGGTTGTGTCCACATGCATTCAGTCTTGATTGGTATGAACATGCATTTGTGGAAGTCGCATTGGTTTTTTCTGAACTGCCACAAATTTACTTTCGAACTTTTTTTTCACGTTCGTTACCCGAACGTCCTTCAAAACTACAATACATGTCACAATAAATTTCAAACAATTTTCACAAAACGTGCATATTAGACACGTTGTAGGTCAGTGCACATGGCAAGCCAGGTCCACTGAAATCGATACAGGTCATTCCAACGGGATGCACAACCTAACTGCTTAACAAACTCGGCAAAATTAGTTTATGTAGTGCACCTCATATACCCCTAGTTCCAGCATTTTGTCCTACAGAAACGTTGCTTATAGGGTTTTGGGGGTGGGGAAATAGGATAAGCAGGCAATGAAATTTGCAGAAGTAAGTGTAAAGTGAAAAAATGTAGTCGAATTTGTTTCCCGCGGCTACTGAAAGTTGTTCTGTATGTAAATTGAATACGTGCGCGGCGCTTTGCGCCGCCGGATAAACTGGTCTACCTCCAGAACCGTAAGTTGAAACTCAGGTAAGTTGAGGTAAACGACCTCCTAACCAGCATTGCTATTTTTCAGGAATTTCAAAAACCTGCACTTTGATAATCGGGTTTTCCGCAATACGTTAAAGGATAATACTGATTAGAAAAATCTACAGATATAAATCACCGAATTTCTAAATAAAATAAAATAAAAATGCATATAACAGTTAGTAAAGTATATTCCACTGCCTATCCTAATTCACTATCCATAAAACCCTATAACCAACGTTTCTGTAGAACAAGATGCCGGGACCAGGGATTAATGTGGTGCACTACATAAGCTACTGTTGCCGCAAACTCTTCTCCACACTATAATATGCCTAAGTCCAGTGAAGGATAGCTGGGGGAGTCTCAAATGCACGTAGCCCACTACTCCACTACAATAGATACCCAGCTTGTACGTTTCAAATATATGTGGTTATCGGGTCAAACGATTGTCACCCTTTGCGAGACTTTCGGTCGGAAAGACATAGGCAGGAAATAAATAATCTTAAAAAGCTTTTTTGCGTGGCCGTCGATGCAGTATATTGCCAATAAAAGCGAAAATGCGAGTCGTAGGAAGTAGGTGAATTTAAAGGCGAAGAAAATTATTGTTCCAGCGGTCAAATCGGCTTCTTCTCGATGCAGTATATGTTGCGTTTAAACGGAAAACTGCATCCATGCACGCAGACATGAATATGAGTGGTTAGAAGAAAACTGAGGTAATTCACCTCTGGTAAGCCTGCAAAACGAGGATACTGGATGCAACATTTTTCTGGACAGAACACGGGACTAGGTACTTTCATATTACAAACGACCTTGCGACAACTTCCAAGGGATTGGGAGTAAGGTTCGATTCGTTTTTAGGGTTTGGTTAGGCTGCAGGAATGGCTGTCCCCAGGAATTTATCGTAAAACCGCATAAAATAGGTCAGAAGCCCATTCTCTTGTTCAATTTCTCTTTGTTAATGGGATTTCAAACACTCCGCGAAATAGGTAATGGAATATATCGACCAATCGTCAAGGGAACGCTCATGGACACAAACACCACGCAGTTATCGATTTTTATAGGCATTTAAATAGTTCAGGTGGTTTTGAGCCGAAGTATTTACTCCCTGTTCGTGAATTAATTTTTTGAGAGAATTAAAACGCTTAGCTTATGCAATACTGCGTCCCAGGGTTCAAAAGACAAATTGGATACTCAACGGAACGGATAGGGAAGTATTTCGAAACCAAAAAACGTCCAAAACAGTGAGTACCCATGGGCTGACCTGAGAACGATGGAGAAGTTTGCTGGTTTTGGCATGTTAGCAGTTGTGGACTGAGTTAGCGTGCACAGAGTTTGAATCCTACTCTCGTAAATGTAACAAACTTTCCTTTTGCGCACATTGCTCTGAAATCTGAAACCTGAAATAGTAACTCGTGCCTGCCAGGAGCTAGCTTTTAGCCCGTATTACACACTAGTTCTTCCTCTTCTTCGGAGCACACGTAACTCTCCCCATCCTCAGACTGCATACTAATTCTAATACAAAGAAAGCTGTTCTGAACTAAAGCTATCTGAAAGGCGAATTGCTCACAAGGTGGTAATTATTCACTTGGACATGCTTTGACATGAAATCTTGGCCGTTTACAGGTGCTCATGCACCATCAAGTGAGAAAAACACTATGCTCTAAATGTAAGATTATTCAATTCGCGAGCCCAATAATTCTGATATGCCCCGGGTAACTGACAACACCATTCTTAGCAATAACATGATTAGGTAAGTGATAAAAAACTGCCACTTCCCCTTTACAGCCTCTATGAGATAATATACTTGCATAGACTACTATAATCCTAAAAGGAGAATACATTGGTGTCACCGCGCGTGCTGTCGCATCCCAAAACAGAATTTTCCCTTATAGAAAAGTTATATGAATCAATTGTTCTCGATTTAAGCACCGGAATGTAGATAGAAAAGCATTTTAGAGCTTTACATACTGTACATTCTCCACTGCACCCTGTCATCTCCTCTCTTACTGTCTTTTTAAACATTTCATTTACTTTTGAGCCTTATTCCCTCAGACATTTGTGGATCTCTTTGCTGCAGGGACTCCATTAACGTCCGTTACCGCAGTTGCCTCGGCTGAAGTGGTAGCAGAATAGCAAACAATTTCTGGTGACAGAATTGCCTAATTTACCGCGTTGTTCAAGTTTATGACGGATTCGTTTTCGCCCTTTAATTCCCTTACCTAGTTCATAAACTGCCAAAGGCTCAACCTCGTTGAGTTGGCTTTTGTGAGCATGACTTGACCAGAGCCGACAGAGCTAATTGACCGGACAAAAAACCTCGGTGATTACGGAAATGGATGTTTGTCCTGCCGCCGCCCACAGTTCTAACTGTTTACGCCAAACAACGGATTACATTGCATTTTTATCAAAGGGTAAAAAATTACTAAAGTCTATGCATTGTCAACACCACGTTTTCTTCCGATAGACGCTACTTCGGGTGCTCTCGTTAGATTTTTTCGTTAGCAATACATCCGAAAAAGGAAGCGAATCTATGATTTCTATTTCAACTGAGAATATATTCAAAGAACTTGCCTGATGTGCGGACGTTAGGAGGGTAGTTACGTAGGTTTTTATAGTGCTATTTGTAAAGATGCCGTCAACTTAGCGGCAGTACT